CAGCATGTTTTTTTTTTTTTTTACATTTTTTATTTCTACATACAGTACAAAATACATAACATCTGTGCTTCCAGGCTATTGAAAAACACCAGCCACCACTGACGTAAATGCACCTGGTTTAATTTTATTCAAGCATTAAAAAAAATGTAACACTTATTGTATTATTAAAAAACTCTAGTTAACATAATTTGATGAAAGTGAAATCATATCTGATTCATAATCCATTGTCGTCATTGGTTGTATAACAGGAGACAACTGTGACTCAGGTTAAATCAAACAATGACCCAACATGCACCTATACGATATTGGTAATTCGCATTTTCAGGAGCACTCTGGAGGCAAGCAAATGAATGCGAAAAGAGAAGAGGTTAGTTTCTCTCTCTGTTGCTGGGCTACAACACCAGCTGATCGGGAAAATATTCAGCAGCGGTCGCTGTATCTGGCAAAACCAGAGCGGCATGCCATGGACCTTCATTTAGTAAGGAGAGAGGAGGAGGAGAAACACTGCAGCTTGGGATTGTGTCATGTCACATTGTGCTCATCTGTCAATGTAGTGTATTATTTCTTGAGAGACTAGAATTGGCTGCCCAGAATCAGACCGCCATCAATCTCGGCTGAGAGTGGAACGCGGGCGGGGGCCCATCCTGCACGGGCTCATGGGATGCGGACGACTTGGAGCCGGTGCCTGAACAGGTGATGGAGCTGCGGAGTGACTCAACTCGTTACTCAATATAAGCCTCAGCTGTGACTGTTTTTTTTTTTAGTTGTTTCTAAAAAAAAATAGGGTTGTGGGGTCAGGTCAGAGAGAGAATTCAAAAGCAACCAAATCCATTTTGGTATTCATGTCAAGCTCCGGTTATAGGAGGTAAGCCGATTTCTGCAGTATTGTGAAATGCCTGAACTGCATGGAGGATTACACTTGTACAGAGATACCTCTGACCTGACAACTACTGTATCCATCATCCTCAGACAAATAATGATTCTGCTAACTGTGCAGCTAAAGCTACCCAACTGCATGAGTTCTGTATTCACTGCATAAACATATTTCTTTTAAATACATTTTGACCTCTTTAAAAATTTAAAAAAAAAAAGTAAATTGTATCAGGAGACGTTGCAAGCTGGACACAAACCTGCATTAAGCATTTAAGCACCAAAACTCAACATTCAGATTGCTTGTTGCCTTGTCTACTTAAAGGGATAGTTCACCCAAAAATGAAAATTACTCCATAATTTACTCATCCTCAAGCCATCCTAGGTGTATATGACTTTCTTCTTTCAGACGAATCCAATCGGAGTTATATTAAATAATGTCCTGGCTCTTCCAAGCTTTATAATGGAGGTGAATGGGTGTTATTTTTCAATAGTCCAAATTAAGACGTCAAATAAAACACATCCATCCATAATAAAAAGTGTCCCACACGGCTCCGGGGGGTTAATAAAGGCCTTCTGGAGCGAATCGATGCGTTTGTGTAAGAAAAATATCCATATTTAAAACTTTATAAACAGTAATCTCTAGTTTAATCACTGGGTGAGCTTAAAGGGCCAGTACTTTGCAACAAATGGCCAATAACTGATACTGACTGATTTAATGACAAAAACTGATTTTTTTCCTATATAATAAAAAAAGATGGTAAAAAGTAAAAAGGTGGACTGTGTTCAGGACGTGTTACATGCCAGACTTGAATCCGCATTGCCTATCTAAGTATCACAAGTCAACCAATTAGAAACCCATGTTCTGCCGTAAATAGCATTAAACTAAACATTATCTAAACAATTCTTCCTGAAATAGAAATCGCCGTCAATTATTCAGCACAACATATACAATCTTGAGTTTGTAATAAATGGTCATTAAGAGAGAATGTAGAAAGATAAACGTCTTTAACGTCCTTAAACATCTTTTCAGCATCAAGGACATCAGCCTGCATTTCATCATTTACAAAAGATTTTGGCTCAGGCACCTAAACGTCCACCTTTACTATGGAAATACAATTGCTCCTGGCTACACTGATACACTTCTGTCTAACCCACAGAGTAATATGGTGCTGTTCTCTCCTGTCTGGGTTTTGAAGCATTTTTGGCATTGATATAAAGTGTTTGTCCTCGAATATCATCGGTGGGGGTGTTTCACAGTTAAATAAATGATGACAGCTTTTCAAAATGAATCATGCTATGCTTTCCTTGTCTCATTTTTAATCTTAGATACTTTTTTTAATAGGATTTGATTGCTGGATAACAGCACCATGGATAAAAAGAGAGGCAAGAAAAAAAAACATTTCAAAATGTTAGATCTCTCTCCAGGCAATGGAAATCTATTTATAATAAAAGGTCTTCTTAATGAAAGTAGAGATGGTTTTAGAATTACAAAATCAATTTTAATTCAGCTATGAATCATAGTTTTTTAATTCCCAGAAAATTGCTGCTGTCCAAGTGATTAGAGCCAGTGTATTATCAAATTATTGAGTCTAAGTGCTATTTTATTTTACAAAACATTAAGAACTGCACACGTGGGTGGAGAACCTCAATCAATAAAAATGAAAGTAGCAAGAAAGAATAGTACAAACAAAATAATACAATAAATAATAATAAAATAAAAATAATTTTCAAAAATATAAAAAGATATAAAAGTAAAAACAGGCAAGTTAGCTTTTCTTGTCAAAAATCTGTTCTTAACATGTGTCAAACAGATCAGATGTCTTGAAAAACCTTCATCAACCTCTCCATCCAATAAGTTATTGAAATTTAAGATATTCTCTAGTATGCAAAAAGTACAGTTTTAAAGTCAGTGGAGATGGAAGAAGCCAGTAGGTAATACTGAAGGGTAGCCAATGATGTCTGCAGACCTGGCATCAAGAAAGCTCATTAACAATACTGCTGATACACCCAGCTTTAGATGTTTGTTGATTCAGTTAGCAACAAAACAGAGCCTTTGCAGGAAGCTCAGTGACATCTAATTAGCGTGATCCATGTCTTTGCACCTTTACCATTATAAAGGAATTACATAAAAAGTCTCCATTAAGCCTGGTTCATCTAATAGATGCAGTATTACACCACAGAGTTAGAACTGTAGACTAAGATTTCATACTTTGAATCATGATTCAGTCAGAAATGTGGTCTCACTAAGAACTCAACCTGTTATTCCGTTACTAGGTCACTTCAATGTGAAAATGTTAGCAGCATTTTTACACACTGCGTTATTTTTTACACAAAAAAGAACATACATGAATTGTGGTACTGCCATTATGGTCCGACACAGATTATGTTATTTTAACACCTAAATACAACTCACAAAAGTTGCAGTTTGGACAGGTTTTGTTTTCGTTGTAAAAACATGTAACATTCTTTGGTATTTTTATACATTTTTAAACAAAAAATTCTGAAATGTTTTATTTTGGCTATATTATTATTTCATTCAAGGTGTGGTTTCTAAAACATTTTTAAAACGTTGTGAAGCATTACCTAATTACAATCAAAATACAACATTGTGAAAAGTGTGTTTGCTAGGTATGGTATAGTCTACTCATTTGGCCGGGGAGAGGAGGGGAAATGCTTGTCCCAGGCCCTGTGCATTTGAGCTATGACCCTTACTGACTGTAGAGAAATGTGGCACGTCAGAAACCAATCATAATCAGCCCATAAAGAACGTCTCAAGCTTTCGGTTTAGTTTTTCCTAAACAAATATGTGCCAAACCATGAGCACTTTAGCAAAACAAGATCTTCAGCCACTGCAATATGGATGAGTGCAAGAGTGGGAGCACGTTTAAAAGCTACAATCCTCCATTACCGAGCCCTTTTTGACCTTCCTAACACCAGAGATATGATTTCTCACACACGTTTTTGTCTAACTTTTCCATATACCGCGGAGTGTGATGGGGGATGATTTCTTTTTGTTGTTCAGTCGACCCCTTCAATAATTCAGGGAACACTTACTATGGGGCACGCTCTTTCTTTGTACATCTCTGGCACCATGCTCTGCTGGACCTGGAAGCACGGTGTTAAAAATTAATCCGGGTCTTTCTGACGTTCATCGCGCTATTCTCTCCATGTATTGGATTAATGAGTTTGAAGTGCTTTCTGAGAAGTAAAGCTCTCTCACATATGTATGCTGTCTTATAAGATGGTAAACATAAAAACAAAAAGAACAAATTTTGCAATAGTTTAAGCACTAATCACACTAAGCTATACTAGGACTCCTGGTGCGCTCCTTTTTCTACCCTGGATGCAAAATCGATAGTAATGAAGTAACAAACACATTTACTACATAATCTATAAGGACAGGACTTTGCAAATATTTAATGAGCGTGCGGCGATCTACCTCGTGCAGCATTAAATTTCTTTGGAGTTCTTTGTAGCCTTGCTCCGCTGTTGAAAGTATGCCACAATCGCTTCCATTTGCATACTTAGTGTTGAAGAGAGACCCACCTTGCTGTCTCTCTTCCCGTCAGCCCTCGTAGCGAAACAGTACTTAATTGCCAAATACTTCCACAGAGCGGGCGATAGACGTAAATTGTCATTTCCACCAGAGCCTCTGTGATCAAAGCTGCTCGAATTCACAGCATGCTGATAGGAGAGTTTAGCCTCAAGCCTGCATGTCTCGCACACACACATATGCACATGGAAGATTTCCACCGCTGCAGTCTCACGATGCAAAACCCTTTACAAGCCACTTGTTGAAAACAAGAACAAAGCGTCTTGAGCTGGGTGTCTATGTAAATCTCTTTTCATGACAGAGGTGAGGCACAAGAAGAGGATAACACACCTACCACAAAGTTTCACAAGCATTGCAATGAGCATTTTATGGACTTAGGCTCACTTTTATGCAAAACTGATAGCGATAAAGTCAACACACAGTCATCTCGATCTCATATGCCTTTTAAAACGTGAGCGTCCCCAAACTGAACATCTACAATACAGGGACTTCCACAACCAGCAGAGTTAAACACTTCAACGAACACATCACCAACTCAGTGACAAGGAACATATGGTTTAAACGAGACACTGACCCAGAATCTGTATGGCGTTGCGGCCCGGGTAGGTCACATGATGCTGCTGGATGGTCTCGTACAAAGTGGCGTGGCACAGCAGTAAGCAGCTAACACTTATCCACAGACACAGGAGCCAGGACATGGCAGGAGCACCGGCTGAAGAGAAAAGACATCAAAGACAGAAGATAAAAGCAGAATGTTTATTCTATCTGACACACACCTACATGCACGTACTATTTCAGCCCTCAGCATTATTGAATATTGCGCCATTAACAAGCATTATTTCGCAATTTAACTTTAATTTCAAATCAGTATAATTTAAAAATGACAATGTGGTTTTTAGATCATCAGGTAAAGTACATTATGACCACTGACTGATCATTACATATTCTAATCTTAAGTGAATAACCTTGTTTTTTGTTTGCATTACTTTATGGTGAATCCTTTCGTAACTAGTGCATAACCTTGGATTGATCGGCACTGCGAGACAGGAACACAAACCAAATGAGTTCTGCTTTATTATATAATGACAATGATTTAGAGTCAAAACAAACTCTTGGAATGTTTAAACAAGTACAAGTTTTCTCCAACTTTAAATTTGTAAGCCAAAGACTGACAATTAACACTTTTAAATCAGTCCTCGACTCATCTTCCGAAACTCCATCACTTGAAATGGCAAACAGTGTTTAATTAATGGATGGTACATGGCACAGTTCTCCTGCACTCTTCAAGCTGACAGGCAGGAGCATCACTCAGTGCACCCTCAAATGACATTGAAATTTCCAATGAATATTCATCAAGCCTCAAAATTAAGCATATCATTATTAACAGCACATTGTAATCCCCTTTGCTTCACTAAAGCCTTCGTAATCCACAGTTTTGTGGAAATGTGAACTGTTCCCAGAGGAGTGCTATTCTCTCCCTGGCTGGCAAACTGCCTTAAAAACTTCAACTGTCTTCTTCAACACTATAAAAGAAGATTTAGCACATGCAATCAAGTGTATTAACATGCAACAGAAGAAGATGATCTTTAAGCAAAATGAGCATCCTTGGACTTTAGAAGGCCACCTAAACCTCAAGACCTACGCAATATATTTTGTTACATGTCTTTCATTTTCCAGGTAATATTGTAAGTCACTTTTCTATGATATGGTGTCTGAGATTCCGACAAGTTAGTGAGAGCAGCTTTGGGAGTCGGTGCTCGCAGCTATTTTATAATTAATGCATTGATCTGATAAATCATCTGGTTGGATGCTTTTACATGTTTTACTTTGTGGTCCACATGCTCATCACCATCCTCGGGCACACCTGCACACGATCACCGCAAGATATTCTGTAGCCTACTCACACACTTAAGATGATGTGCCTAGACATGAAGGTAGAAATAAATAATAACAAAAAAAAAAACTAATGATAATAATATAAATAAATTGTCATTTAAATTATTTTAATTTTATAATAATAGTAATAATAAATATTATTATTATTATTATTATTATTATTATACAATTTCTGTGTGGTTTCATACATATTATTCTGAGGAAAAAGAAAGAAACACTGTCTATATACTCAATATTTATTCTTGCATTGTATTGCAGATTTTATTACAAAACACAGCTCTTACGTGTTATTGAATGCAAAACATTTGGCCATCATATGTTCATTTATGCCACAGCAGCAGCACTGAGATTTGGATTGGCAGGAAAATCCTATAGCTCATCTATCTGCACCGTATTGAAACTGTCAACGCTTAGCATCATTGATAAGCATGTAGGCAAATTATCAATGACTCAGAGACGAACAAAATGCATGCTTAAAAGTGGCTAGTCAAGTTTTCCGTTTCAAAAATGCACACATCTGCTGACTTTTTAGTCATTCTTGTGAAGTGACTTCCCGTAGATTAAGATTTAGTTTCACATCCTACCATGGCAGAACAATCACACCTAATCTTACCTGTGAGATACGGTGGAGAGAACGTTAAAGAAACGTGCCGTCAATTGTTCATCCAATATCCTCAGCACATAGTCATAAATCCATCCATGCTCTCGGGAAAGAGCTTCCCAGCAAAAGTTCCTGTTCGGATCTGCGGGTCAGAGGGGGGATGAGGAGACTTTTGTTCCCGCTCCTGCCCTTGATCCCCTCTTCTGTTGTAAATCCTGGCTTCAATCCACCGAACAGTCAGGCACCCGACAGCAGAAACTCCCGTCACAGCTGTGAAACGCTGTCAGAAACTAGCTGGGATTTGAGGGACGAGAGGCTTGTCATGTCACCTTTAAATCACCAGAGAAGCAACGTCTTCCTCCTTGTTTCTCAGCCTCCTCACGCTTCTCTCTGAAGGTGAAGCTTCTTTGGGGGATAACAAGCTAATTTTCCTTTTCACTTTTTGGTCCTGCACATGCGACGGCACCTCTCTCTCTCTCTCCCTCTTTCTCTCTCTCTCTCTCTCTATCTATCTTTCGTGTGCTCGCTCTCTCAGTCCCTCTCTTCTCTCAGCTCTTCTCTCCCATTGAGAAGCCACTCAGTACAAGTCTCTCCTCTTCCCAGTGTACTGACTGGTGTGCACACGCATACGTGTGAGTGCAGGCGTGCTCGTGTGTATGACAATATCGCCTCACGAGTGGGAGAGCGAGACACATCACACGTCTTAAAGCAAGACTGCCCACTGTAGCCGAACAGAAAGGCACCTATACAGTTGATATAACATTGTATGCGTGTGTTTTCTGTGTGCAACTGCAGCCTGGAAAGAACACAGACAAGATGGTTTAATTTCACAATATGCTTCCTCGATTCTTCAGATTTTGGAGGGTTTGAACAAAGAGACTGAAATATGCTCAGAGCATCACGCTTTTAATAGAAGGCTGTCCGCAGCTGCGTTTGCAATCATCTCAATATTCTGAGATTGCTGCGGTGTTTCTTTGCCTGTTTGTACAATCTAAATGGCTCTTTGTGTTGCGCGCGGCTCTCGCTGGTTGTTGAGTGTTGCCAGAATAAAGTTGCAGCTGGCACGCCTGGCACACAGAAACAGTCGTCCCCTTTATGTGTGCTGATGCTTTTGTGGGAATTCAGTGTTTTTTATGATCCGAGATGATTTTTGGATAATAAAGAATGAATAAACAATTAGATAGCACATGAAATAAAATAATAATGATATATATGTGTGTGTGTGTGTGTGTGTGTGTCTTTCTCTCTATATATTAACCTATGTAAAACGAATAAATATATTAGAAAAATGTGAACAATAATTAAATAGGTAAATAATTAACTATAATATTAAGTATCAAAGAATATTTACTTTAAAAAGGTACTTTTTAATAATAATAGTATATCTATTAAAACTATTAAAAAACTGCAGAAATTATTTCATATTGCAGCAGATGCTGATTCCTGATACAGAATAATGTGGTTAGAAATGTGTAATATGAATAATTATAAGTGTAGAGTGAGTATAGAGTTCAAGTGTTTATTGTCATTTCTCCCACAGGGAGAAATGAAACACAATATATCCGATAGCATCATGATGCAAGAAATAAGGACACATCTAACAATAGCAACAATAATTACAGCACAGCGCAATAGACAACATACAGTGGGTACGGAAAGTATTCAGACCCCCTTAAATTTTTCACTCTTTGTTATCAGCGTTATCTCATAAATTAAACTAGAATAATAAGTCTGCAATTGTTGCAATGAGGTAAACCATGGTGTGCAAAAATAAACATTAAATAGTAGTTCTTAAAGTAGAGTGGTGCAATAATAAACATTAAATTGTAGTCCTTAAAGTAGAGTAGTGCAAAGTATGTTGGGAGGAAGAGTTAACATGGCATCCAGAGTCCATTGTTGGGCCCACAAGAGACAGAGATAAAAGATGAGGGAAGTGGTCAACCACAGCTGTTAAGTAACCTGATCACCTGAGGAAAGAAACTGTTTCTTGTAGTTCATGCTTGAACACTTCAGAGTCTTCTTCCAGATGGGAATAGGCTAAACACTCCAGCAGTGGGGTGAGTTTTGTCCTTCATATGGTTGCTCTCTTAAGGCACCGCACCCTGTAGATGTCCACCATAGATAGGAGACTGGATGCAATGATGTTCTGGGCAGCTTTTACCACACTCTGTAGGGCCCCCCTGTCAGCGGCCGAACAACTGCCAAACCAGACTGTGATGTTATTGGTCAGGATGCTCTCCACTACACATCTGTAAAAGTTGATCATGATGATGTTACTCATGCCTGCTTGTTTAAGTCTTCTCAGGAAGTGTAGTCTTTGTTGGGCTTTCTTCACCAACGAAGTGATGTTCTTGTTCCATGAGAAATTATCTGTTAAATGATAACCCAGAAACTTGAAGCTTCCAACTATTTCCACTGCGGCTCCGTTAATGAGCAGTGGAGGGTGATTTACAGAAGTCTTCCTGAAGCCAATGATAATTTCTTTCGTCTTGCTGACATTGAGGGTCAGATTATTGTTTTTGCACCACCGCCCCAGAACCTTCACCTCTTCTCTGTATGCTGTCTCGTTGTTATGTGAGATGAAGCCCACCACTGTTGTATCATCAGAGAACTTAATGATATGATTGTCCTGATGCTGTGCAACACAGTCATGGGTAAGTAATGTAAACAATAGTGGGCTGAGGACCAGAGGCGGACAGTAACTAAGTACATTTACTTGAGTATTGTACTTAAGTACACTTTTTGAGTATCGGTACTTTACTTGAGTATAATTTTTTATGGGAACTTATGACTTTAACTTCACTACATTTGAAAGACAAATATTGTACTTTTCACTCCACTACATTTCTATCAAGATCCTCGAAGTAGAAAGTCGTTAGCAACTTTGAAAGTCAGTGGGTGATTTCTTTCTTCTCTAAAACGTGACTCTTTTTTTCAGACAGTTTATCAGTAATCACTCTTGGGGCTACATGAAGTGATTTCCCAGCATTTTTTGAACACTGACCAGTTCCAAATGTGATATTTATTTACAAACAATTCAATAATAAGAAGTTAATATTGTGGTATATATTAGACACAATATTCTGTCTTTACAACTTTTACTTGTAATGGAGTAATATTTGACCAGCAGTATCTGTACTTTCACTCAAATAATGGAGTTGAGTACTTTGTCCGCCTCTGCTGAGGACACATCCCTGAGGGGCTCCGGTGTTCAGAATGAAAGGATGAGATTTGTTCTCGCGAATCCTTACTACCTGGGTTCTATTAGTCAGAAGATCCAGGACCCAGTTTCAAACTGTGACTTATTAAAGGAGTCATATGATGTTGCTAAAAAGAACATTATTTTGTGTATTTGGTGTAATGTTAATATAGAAAGGCAAAATGATTCACACACACACAGGTTTGTATCACTATTTTAGTGAGGACATTGTATATACTTCCATTGATTTCCTATCAGGTTAATGACATCACCTAACCCATCCCCTACTAGTGGTTTGTCAAAGATTTTCACAATATAAGTATAGTCAAAACAAGTACACACACAAACAAACTTTTTATATATATTTATGCCTTTTCATATTACTTTTCTAACCAAATCTATACTGTATTAGCAACAGAAACCACTGTCTCTCGGTGGCCAACTGGGATATGAAATGCAGGCAAACCAAATCTCTTGAAATTTTACAGGCGTATGCTGAGGTAGTCGTGTCAAGATCTATTCCTTCTTTCTTGACACAACTGACTACATTGTGACATTTCAGTGACAGTAAAGCTGACAAATGCTGCACAGAGCAGCTGGAGCGGAGAACCTGCACATGCTGTCGTCACATGTATATCTAAGGGCTGAAAAATATGTGTGAGAGCGTGTGCGAGTGTAGATGAGCGAATCGAGATCGGACAGATAAAGCACTTGACTTCCCCCACTGATGCTTAAATCGGAGATTCATTTCAGATGGTAGGAACATGGTTCTACTTGAGTGCAGACAGTGAGCCTAGCCAAAGGGTGTTTCTCATCCTGCTGTTGTCTGAGACACTCGATGGTCTCCATGCGCAAGACTGCCAAGACTGGAATCACAGGCTGGAGTGGAACAACTGTTGTTAAAGGGAGCATGGGAAAAAAATACAGTGTAATGAAACAGTGAAAGGTAGATATTTATTACTCTCTCAGTAGGGTGCCCTAAAGAGACCAAGTGACTGGTTACCTGCTGAGGTAATTGGCACCCGTGTAACTGTTAACAAGGCAATTCTGCATGTACACTAGTGGCCGATGATGCCACATTGCATTGCAATGGCTTGAGAAAGTCTACAAACTACCACTGGAAAAAAAAACTCTTAAAAAGAAAATACAAGATACTACATATTTAAATACAATTTAAATGTATGCATCTGACAGTTGCTTTGGATAAAAGCATCAATAACAAGGAGGAACAGAAAAGGGACTACCATCAACTGAAGGACCATTATGTCATGTTGCTTCCAGTTTTGACAGCTACATTGATTATAATGGAAGCGATCTAATTTTGACACGCTGACATGGTGTGAAGAAAAAGGAAACTGTGAGTAATGAGGAAAAAGTTTATGAGTCCCTGTGAACTTTTAGCACAGACCTTGAATTTTATTATGGCCGCCCTGTTGACCACTGCTTTCATCAGAGCGTTAGCACCGTAATGTAATGGCCGTGACTCAGCAAAATACAGCCGCTAAATATGAAGGACTTAATGGCACTGACGTGAAGCACAGAATGTAACAAAATGAGTATAATTTGTAACTAATGCACTACCACAAAAGCACACTGAAGGGGGAGAAGGTGGAATTATGGCAGCAGGGTAAAAAAAAAAAAAAATTCTGAATTAGCTTAGATGAATGCATTAGCATTTGACTAGCTGTGTTTTTAAAACTCCTTTTGTGCTGGCTGACTTCATGAAAATGTATGGCTTATGATTATGGCTCGTGTTTATTTTAGTTGCTTCAAAATCACATTTGTGTTCCATCAGTGTTGTGTGCCACTAAAACTTGAAACATGGTCTTTCTTGAAACATCTTTATATGCCTCTAAGGACAACTTAAAAGAAAAATCATCCAATTAGCCGGTTCTCACGGCGATTATGTATGTTTACAACAGCGAAGCCGTTCGCGTCTCATTGTTTTGTCATCTGGGGTTTGGTTTTCTCATTTATGACTATATTTTTTTCACATCGTGAGGCTTGTGTTTTGGGGACGCCACTGGCTTTATCGTTACTGTAGCTTTCACTCTCTACCCTTCCTTCAGTCTCTCATCTCTTGGGCTCCTAATATTTTCAAGCATCTGTCGCCGTTGTCCATGCCGAGCTGGGCTAGACCAGTCCAAACACCAGG